CGGTCGGCTGACGGTGCGCTCGGAGGGGGAGGGGCGGTCGGGAGGAATCTTTTAAATTCAGCGCGGTATGCTTCATTAGTGGCCGCGGTACGCTCGGCGACCGCAGCGATTTAATCCGAGCTAGCGTCAAGCCGCCGCCGTCCCGAGGAAATTCAATTTTCGCTGCGGCGGTAATGGACTAGAATCGTCCCAGCCGGAGAGTTAGGCCGTCTCCCGGCCGTGGCGGAAACGCCAATCGGCTCGGTCCGCGTCAGCGGCGTCCGTTTGAGCGGTAGCGCGCCGAGGACGCGGAGGACGACAGTGGCGTCGACGCCCCCGCATGTCGTCGCAGGCGGAGTGCAACGCGCGCGAAATGCAAGCGACGCGAGCGAATCGACAGCCGGCAGGCAGCGATACGGAAATGCGAGCGGCGTGCATTCGATAAAAATACTTTTAATGCAACGCTCTCTCGCATGCAGTCGCGCGCGCGCGTTCGACGTTCCGACGGCGGAATCAACTGTATCCGCTTCTCGAGAACGGAGATTTCCAAACTCGTCGAACTCGCAGCGTGACGTCCGTGTAAGACCGTGCGCGCTGATATATCGCCGCCACCGTCTCCTCGGGAATAACAAACGGCTCAGGAAAGATTCTCCTCCGGCGCGCGGGAATAAGAAGAGCGTGAACGCGCGCGCACGGCTGCTGCTGCAGCCCGGTAGCGAAGTTACGGCTCGACGGCTCGAGAGCAACTTTCGTGCTTGCGAACGACCGAATTCGACGTTAGAATTCGTTTCGATGTGTTACAAAGATATGCAAGCGCCCTTCGGAATTCATAATGGCACATAAGCTCTCACCCAGTTTCGCGGCGATAGCGGCCGGCGGGCTGTATCGTTCCGCTCGGTTCCGCTTTGGTTCGTGCTTCTTCTGTGTTATCTTTGGAACGTGCCTCCCCTTCTCTCTCTCTCTCTCTCTCTCTTATTCTCTTTCTTTCTAGCTGTGAACACCTGCATCAGACTCATTTCTTAAGTTCAGAGAGACTCACACATTACGCCGTACTACGAAAAACTTTGCTGGCTTCGGGTGAACTTGCGGTGCTTGAACTTCGTGAGATGCTTTCTCTACGACGTTATCTACCAACAATGCTTTTATTTGCTTTGTAATGAATTTATCTTTCGAACTAAAGTACCCGACAGATACACCAGAGCTGCATTTGATCTACCACACGTGCCCCAATGCCCCGAACTGAGCTGTATAAGCGTTCTTTTAGAATTGTCGCTGCCTCACTCTAGAACAGTTTGTCTGTGAATGTCGGATACTTTAATTTCCTTGAATTTTTCAAGAATGTATCTTCTGAATATCTTATTAACGGGGCCTTATATATGCGGTTGTTGACTGTTGATTCTCCCCGACATACTCTTAAGCATGCTGAATACGTATAACTTACGCTTTATGTCACACAACTTTGCATCTTTCTTCTTCTCGTTATATTCCATTTTCATTTCTCATTTTCATGTTTCATATTTCACTTCTCCTTTGTTGTATTTTTCATCGTCATATTTTTCTTACTCCGTACTCACGTGCACTGTTATTCTTTACTTTCCTTGTCTTATTTTTTTTCTTTGTAATCACTGTCCTACGCGCCTGAGGGGAACTTATCCCAGAGAGTTAAATAAATAATTTTCTTTCTCTCTCTCTCTCACTTGCGCAAATTAAAGATTTCCCGTGGCGACACAGATTCAAATAGCTGTATATTAACGGGCCGTGCTAAATACTACCGTTGAACCCACGCCAGCTGATTGCTCCGAGACATCGCGCCGTAACTTTAAGACTTCATTCCTGAAGAGATTCCCGGTTAAATGTTTTACGCGGAGATCCGACTTTGTATATAATTGCATAGTTATGCGGCGTGTTGTTTGTAGATCCTCAGAAATGCTCGCCGGTGAAAATGGTGGAGGGAACGCTGAGGTCGACGCTTCATCAATTACGCCGGTCTCCCGTCATAAGTAACAGCTACATATTTCTCCCTCGCGGCATTTGCGATCATTTGTCATTTATTTTCGAGATCCATGTACTACTTCTATATTTAGAATCATCGACAAGAGTAGATCACATTCGTATCGCTGTGAAACCATTTCCTTGCGAAGCCTTTCCAAATCCGAATCGTTTCGAAGTATAAAAACGCCAAGTTATTTTATCATACGAAGTCGGTCGGATTGCGTTATTCAATTTAAACTTTAAACGTAATTTAAACGGACACGATTACCCTTTTACGCTTAATTAGAAGGGAATTCAATTAACCGCATTGATTTCAACGGGAATAAGTTCCATGTGCGTACTTCACCTCGGGGCTCCGCCGGAAAGAAAAGTGGTATTAATTAATGACGATGTATATATCGCGAGGAGATAACCGACGGGACGGCGGGAATTATACGGGAATCTAATCACGGCCGGCGACGAGAGCGCGACGGCGGATAAAAAAATCAAATCTCCCCGCTAGCATAGAGGAGTCGCGGGTATATTGATTTTTCTACTCCGGTGCAGCCAATGACCTAACGTTACCTCGCCTGCAAGCGCGACCCTAACAAAGTTATTCAAAGAATGACGTGCCGTACACGGCGCAGCACGGTGGAAATCGACACCCATTTACCACTTCGTATTCTCGATCGTGTCCCCTACACGTGACCCGCTCCACGCGCGTCACACCGAGCATCTTAAGACACCATCTGGCGACCGCCCAATCCGGTCATATTTTTCCGATCGCGGGGGGTCACGGCTGCTGTGTGACGGGATTCCGGAGGCCGCGGAGATTTACCGCGGGCATTAAATTACGACCGTCACGACTGATCTTTCGAGATCGGTGTCCTTTGAACGGGACGTCGGAACTGAGTCCACTGATCAAACGACGCTGTTGAACTTTTGTTTTCTTTTTCCTCTTTTTTCTTTTTATCCTCTCTTCCCTCTTAAGAACGTTGCGTCTCCGATGGGCTTTTCGGTCCCGCAGGACCGAACCCTCTTTTGTTGAAAATCGAGGTTTGTCCGAAGGTGGGAGTATATATGTACGTAGACTTCATCATTAGAGACGGGATGATCATATCCTTTCGTAGGAGCAACTGCAGCTCAGGTGAAACAAGTTACGGCATTTGCGATTTCCGAGAGAAGAAGATGGAAATAGAATCTACGAGATTTTATTGTTATAATAAGAGAAAAATTGTTACAAAAATGAGATATAAATCTCAATAATAAATTTCGAATACATGGGACGAGACAGTCTGGAAATAATAAATGCATAAATTTCCCTTTTCGAAATATTCGAAAAAGTGCGTGCAAAAAATAAAAAAATTGGTGGAAAATGAAGAAAAACAGTTTGTTTTCCGAAATTTCAAGATTATAATTATTTGTTGAATTATTATGTGCTAACTAAAAAATTATATAACGTCGGATTTTACTAAAAATTATTATATTATATTACTAATATTACTAAAAATTTTATAATGAAACAAAACAAACGTAAGATGTGTTTTATTTATATAAAAGGTTGCAATTGCATAAATTTTGACACTCGTTAAAGAAAGATGATCTATATTATCATTTACCATTATCATTATTATTTTTGCCATTATGTTTATACGTACATATTATTTCTATTATACTGTATGATTACTATTCATTATATTATTACTGTTATATTATTAATGTATCGTTACTTTATTGTTATGTTATTAATGTATTGTTACTACTATAATATGTAAATTATAATATCTAATATTGTAACTTTCTCTATATCGGCACAATTAGTACTTTTCTATTATTCAAACACATATTTACATATTTATTATCAATCCTCTCCATTTTATATCCGTAGTTGAGTCAACTATTATCTGAAAGAAAACACACCAAGTTCGAAAAAATTTAGATAGTCTAACTTGTCGCTGACTTGTACTACTTTCTTAAGAAAAATTTTCGACCGTCTGACATGTCGTTGTGTGTGACGTTGTTGTTGTGTACTTACATGAACAATTTTCCTTGTTCGTAAAGACAAAAGGTAAAAAGGCAATATTTATATTTCATTCTTATATATAAAATCGTTTTAAATTATTTTTTTAAGATGCTACAAGAGTTATTTGGCTATGTAGCATTTAAAAATAAATTTAAAACGATCTTAAGTATGTGATGAAACCTAAATATATGAATCGCCCCAAAACTATTTTTGCCATAAAAAGTTCAAACATATATAATAAAATTATTTTCTGAAATTGCATTTCTTGAAATATGAATAATAACGCGCGTCAACTCGGCGTATCTGTAACCATTTATAACGCCATTTATGACAGTATTTTCAATTCCAAGAATATAATATTTAAAACATAACGTGATTATATTATACATGAATAAATTTAAGGTAAAATTATCTTGAACTCTTGTTCTTTTGCGAAAAATTTGAGACTTGTAAAAATAATAATAAGATATAAAGATATATTGAAAAATATATTTTTTGAAAAACGCAGATTTACAAAGTATATTAAATATCATGAAATTTTGATATAAGACATTTTGTTATATACAATTATTTTACAATTATTTCACAACTTGACATATGTGACGCGCAAAAATATTCGCGCATAATCGATTTCTACGAATTACCTTGAAGGAATCGTTCCGACTGCCAAATGTGCGAGAGCACATGTCAAAACAGTGTGTCTCGTATTCTTAGCTGTTTTATAAGATATTTAAAGTCTATAAAAGTGGTGCGAGACACTTTTAAATATTTGCGCAATTCACGACAGTGTCTCGTATTTTTAGCTGTTTTACAATATATTTAAAGCTCGTAAAAGTGGTGCGAGACACTTCTAAATATTTGCGCAAGTCAAAACTGTCCCGTATTTTTAGCTGTTTTACAATATATTTCAAGCTTGTAAAAGTAGTACAAGACACTTCTAAATATTTGCATGCGAGCCGCGTCACGTATCAAGCCTGATTAATAATTTCACCCGTTTCATTATTGCGTTTTTCACGCAACTTTTCAGAAGCCGCGGCGGTGAAATCCGGGTGTCGGCGCGAGAAACGATGAACGAATCGAGACGAGCCGGGAACGTAGCGGCGCGATAATAATAATATGTGGACGACGCGGCCACGGACCAGGCGAAAGTCGCGACAACCGTCGACCCCGTCGTGCAAGGCACGCGATAATCGCACGTGGAATCGTCGTCGGGACGGCTTTCGCATCATCTACTCGGTGATATTGGCGGCCTGCATGGCGACGCAAGAAGCGAGGTGCGCCAAGTGCCCGCCACCGGACACGATACCCGGTTGCCCGTGCTACAACTTCGAGAACGGCGGTCTGTTCCTGGAGTGCGCAGGTGCCACCGAGGAGTCCCTCAGGAACGCTTTGTCCGGCGTGATACATGCCGCCGGCGGTGAAGGTAACCGTCCATGATGCGACACGCAAAAAGCACGGAACAGCACGGAGAACACGTATTCCTCTCGCATACATAAGTAGAAACAGTCGTATTCGCAACACATCCGTGGGACATACTAATATCGCGCCGACAGACGTGGCAGCAGTCGTGTGACTCGAGATGAAAAAGGGAAAAGGATGCTCTCGAGAGACCATTCGGTATTCTTATACAAATATTTCGCCGTTTATACTTCTCGTATAATCCGTTTTTAATCTGTTTTATCATTTATGTGTTTCTTGCACTCTCAGACACGCGCAGTCCACTAAACGAAGCAATATGACGAGTTCACATGAGTATTTTGAAAAAGATTGCTCAGCTTCACTGTTCGTTTTCTAGCCGATGAGTGGCAGCACGTTAATACAAAGAGAAAAAGATTACTTCTACTGCGAAGAAAAGCAATTACTCAGTTGACTTTTTTTTTCTTTCAAGCAATAGTTATCTTGAACAAGGAATATTTGCCTGTGCGCGTGTTCCTGTTTTATTCAGTTTCGTTTCAATACAATGAGAAACACATTAAAGAGTCGCATGCATTTATTGCTGTTTTGAAATATACATTTACCTTACGTTTGTGTTACTACTCAAAAATACTCGATAATACCATCCGAATATACTCGTATACGATCGTTTATAACCCTTTTGTTACTGCGGAAAATGCCCTTTTCCGGTCTAAAAATGGGGTCATACTTATTCAGCCGAATGCACGCTTTTAATGTTCCAACCAACAGTTTTCGCGGACTAAAAACGGTGAAATATTTTGATAATGGTACCTATACAAATGCGATCGATGAACTGCGGCACTTTTTTATAACTTTTGCTTCCGAATCCTTAAATATAACCCTCGCATATTTCTAGAAAATTATTATATTCCAATACATATACTTGCGTATTTTTCAAAGAAACTTAAATTAATATTAATAATTCATATACTTATATATTTTTTAGGAAATTAATATAATTTCGACATATATCAGCCTATAGTAGTAAAAGATATATAAGACGTCTTGGATTAATTTTGCTATGTGCAAAAATAATGTTTAATACGACATTTTTCGGAGCGTTACGGAGAATTAATAATGAACGAGACGATTGTCTCATACATTTTTAACTCTCCGTAACGCTCTGGGGAATTCATGAAATTGAGACTCTCGTGTGTCAAATCTTGGATATTAAGTTACATACTCGATGCGAGTGGAATCCCGTTAAACCTTACATACGCCTTGTAAATTTTCCCTTCTTAATAGCGGAAGTTCTCACATTGCGATCTCCTCTGATTTCTTACTCGTGCGCGAGAAAAAAAATGCATGATGTAAAACAAAGGACGGGTATCGCTTATAGTAACCCGCGGTGAGGGAATAAAAACTCCCTCAAAGCGGGTGCGAACGGTTCGATTTTAAACGAGTTATCCGGCGATTGTTTCAGGCGCGCTCGTGCAATCGTTGAGCGTGTACGAATTAGATCGAAAAGTAGAGGAACTTCGGTCCGCCGCTTTCCCGACGGGCTCGCAAATTAGGCATCTGCAAATATCGCATTCCGCGATCCGCGAGATAAGCGAGAATGCTTTTGAGCGACTAAGCAAAAGCCTGGAATCCTTGGCACTCGTATCCGGCCGACTACCTCACGTACCTCAAAAGGCACTGGCCTCGCTGAGCCTACTCAAAGCGCTGGATCTAGAGGCTAACCTCGTTCAAGAGCTGCCGAGCTTCAGCTTCTACGGGCTCTCCTTAATTAAACTGAACCTGAAGGGCAATCAAATCGTGAAAATCTCCGAGTACGCCTTCGCCGGGCTCGAAGGCATGCTGAAAGACCTGGACCTGGCGGAGAACAAGATCCGGGTGTTCCCCATGACTTCCCTGAGACGACTGGAACACCTCACGTCCTTGAGGCTCGCGTGGAACGAAGTGTCCCAGCTGCCGGAGGACGGCTATTCCAGGCTGGACGCTTTGAACTTCCTCGATCTCAGTAGCAACAACTTCAAGGACATACCGCTCAACTGCTTTCGCTGCTGTCCGTCCCTGAAGACCCTGTCCCTTTACTACAACGCGGTCGAGTCGGTGGACAAGGATGCCTTCATATCGTTGATCGATCTCGAATCGATCGATCTCAGCCACAACAAGATCGTGTTCCTCGACGTGGCTACCTTCCGTGCCAATCAAAAGCTCAGGTCGATCGATCTCAGCCACAATCACATACACTACATCCGCGGCGTGTTCTCGCGGCTGCCCGAGCTGAAGGAGCTCTTCCTCGCGGAGAACAACATCCTGGAGATACCGGCGGAGACGTTCGCCGGCAGCAGCAGCTTGTCGGTCGTGTACCTGCAGCAGAACGCCATCAGACGGATCGACGCGCACGGCTTGGCGACGCTGAGTCAGCTGGCGCAGCTCCACCTCAGCGGCAACTACATCGAGAAGGTGCCGCGCGACTTCCTCGAGCACTGCGAGAACCTGTCGACGCTCTCGCTGGACGGCAACAACATCCGCGAGCTCGAGGTCGGCACGTTCGCCAGGGCGAAGCAGCTGCGCGAGCTGCGGCTGCAGGACAATCAGATCACCGAGGTGAAGCGCGGCGTGTTCGCGCCGTTGCCGTCGTTGCTCGAGCTGCACCTGCAGAACAACGCCATCACGGACATGGAGACCGGCGCGTTGAGGTCCCTGCACAGTCTGCAGCACGTGAACCTGCAGGGCAACCTCCTGGCGGTGCTCGGCGACGTGTTTCAGGTGTCCAACGACGCAGGCCAGAGCGAGAACAGCGGTAGCTCCTTGGTGTCCATTCAGCTGGACAATAACGGCCTCGGTGTCTTGCATAATGACTCGTTGAGAGGCCAAGCCTCGGTCAGGATCATGTGGCTCGGGCACAACAGGCTGACGCGTCTGCAGGCGCCTCTGTTCCGGGACCTCTTGCTGGTCGAGCGGCTGTACCTCACCAATAACTCGATCTCGCGGATAGAGGACACCGCGTTCAAGCCGATGCAGGCGCTCAAGTTCCTCGAGCTCAGCATGAACCGGCTGAGCCACGTGACCGTAAAGACCTTCTCGGAGCTGCACGAGCTCGAGGAGCTCTACCTGCAGGACAACGGCCTGCGACGGCTGGACCCTTACGCCCTGACCGCCCTCAAGCGACTGCGCGTCCTCGACTTGGCGAACAATCATCTGAACGTGCTGCACGACAAGATCTTCCAGGAGGGCCTGCCGATCCGGACGCTCAACCTGAAGAATTGCACCGTCACCGTGATCGAGAACGGCGCATTTCGCGGACTGAACAATCTCTACGAGCTGAATCTCGAACACAACCACTTCACTGCCACCGCCCTGGACCGTCTCGACATACCGGGACTGAGGGTCCTGCGAATATCGTACAACAACTTCAGCCAGATCAACGGTAACTCCCTGGACGGGCTGCCGTCCCTGCAGCATCTCGCGATGGACTCGTCGCAGATCTACAGGATGCCGGCCGAGATCTTCGCGAAGAACAAGAATCTGGGGAAGCTGTTGCTCAGCAACAATTTGCTCAGGGCGCTACCGGCGACGCTGTTCCTAGGCCTGGAGGCGCTCAAGGAGGTCAAGCTCGACGGCAACATGTTCCAAGAGGTGCCGTACGACGTGTTCGCGAACGCTACCACGGTGGAGTTCCTCTCGCTGGCCAACAACGTGCTCCTGCAGGTGGACATGTCGCGGCTGAACGGACTGGCCAGCCTGCGGGAGCTCGACCTGCGCGGCAACTGCATTATGTCACTCACCGGCTTCGCCGCCGTCAATTTCTCCCGCCTGGTGTCCGTCGACCTGAGCCACAACCACTTGGCGGCCCTGCCTGCCAACTTCTTCGCCCGCTCGAACATGCTGAGGAAGATCGAGCTGGCGGCCAACAAATTCCGGCAGATACCCGCGGTAGCGCTCACGGCGCAAAATATCCCCGGGCTGGCCTGGCTGAACGTCACCGCGAATCCCCTCGTGAGAATACACGAGATCAGCTCGGAGGCGAAGTATCCGGCCCTGCAGGAAATCCACATATCCGGCACGAACCTGACGATCGTCACCAGCCAAGACTTCGAGGCGTTTCCCGCGCTGATGCACCTCTTCATGGGCAGCAACATGATATCCCGGGTGTCGCCCAGCGCGTTTCGAAGTCTTCCCAATTTACTGACGCTGGATCTCAGCGTGAACGAGCTGGAGCTGCTGCCGCAGGAGAGGCTGAAAGGGCTGGAGCATCTGCGCCTGCTGAATCTCACGCACAACCGTTTGAAAGAGCTCGAGGACTTCCCGCTCGACCTCAAGGCTTTACAAGTGCTCGATCTCTCGTACAATCAGATAAGCGGAGTGGGAAAGAGCACGTTTCAGCACCTGGAAAATCTGGCGGAGCTGCATCTCTACGGCAACTGGATATCGTCGATCTCGCCGGACGCGTTCAAGCCCCTAAAGAAGCTCTGGATTTTAGATCTAAGTAGAAACTACTTGGCGAGCTTGCCACTGAATGCCTTTCGACCTCTCGAAACGCAAATACGGAGTTTACGGGCCGAGGGTAAGTACCGACTCGCTTTATTTATAATCTTTCGATTTCGACCGGCGCTCGTTACATTTCGCACGGACATTCCCGTCGCTCCAGCGACGACAGCCCGCGGGGAAAATTACCGGGGATTAACGAGCGATACCGCGCAATTAATTAATTTTGATCAATCGGTAAGAATGATAGGCTATCAGAGCCGTTGCCGGATATTGAACATGATCATTTAAATCTCTCCGGCGGGAGGATTAAATTATTCGGCGATGAGCTGAACTTATTTTCCAGACTACCAACGCACGCGTGGAATATTGTACAATAGCCACTTGTCACGTCGAACTGACCTTTCATCTTGCGAATAATGCTTTTAATAATTACTTTTAATAATTATTCCCCCGTGTGTAAATTCCTCGAACATTGACTTATTCTCCCGTTGGATTTCAATTATCGTGCCGAACATAAACGACAGCTCCTATAACCGAGTCGAAATTTTGTTCCTGTATTAAATTTTACGACGCAGCAGGAGCTAAAATAGCGAAATAAGTTCAATTTAAGCTCCGATAATATAATTTATTCTCACTTTCACTCTGATAATGTTTTAATTTCTCTTTTCGCTATTTTGGCGTCGAAATAAATTATTTAAAAGTAACATTGAAACGTTAAATCTGTAGAGAAGCTAACGAGTATCAGTATCGTCGAAATCGGTTTTTGGCACACAGAAAAAAGTGCTAGATTCAAATAAATAATTATTGCAATACTTAGCAAACATTTACTTGGATTCAGTAAATTTGAACCAGGTAAATATTTTATTTGGATAATTTACTTGGAAAATATTGTATTCAGATCAAGTAAACAATTACTCAATCCTAATTTTTGTTAAATAATTTGGAAATAAAATTTGCTAAAGAGCATTGGAATAATTATTTACTTGAATCAAGCGCTTTTTTCTGCGTAGTCTATAAACTACTCAAGCAGGAGCAAACTATTCTCTTCAAGAGCGTCGAAGTGGTATCAGAATAATTCTATCGATTCAAGATAGCCTATCGTTCTTATTGATTGTTTATCATCAGATAAATTTCGCAATACCTCTTCTAATTTCTACCACTTGCAGTTATCTATGAAAACTGCGCGGCAATGCTACGCCCTCTCTGTTCCCATTCCGTCGCGTCCCGTGGAACCGGCGGAGTTATCGTTCCCCGCGCAAATGATTCGCGTATCTCGGGATTGTTATTGCGGATCGACACCGGCATCAAAACTTTTTCCTTAGCCCCCCATACGATATTGCTCGTGCGCACATGTGCTGCTATTCACACGGATCATGTTGCACCACGTTCGACAATAGCAATCTCGGCCGACGATTGGTCGCATGCAAAACTCACCGCCGACGACGAGTCTTCGCATGCGAGTGAATTCGACCCGGTCGAAAATAGCCCCACGGGTAGTTACACTCGGGAGCTCCTCGACATCGAGTGAACGATATAAATACAGAGAAAGAGAGATAGAGAGAGAGAGAGAGAGAGCCGCTACACAATCGCAGCGAGCCAACGTTACACGAGACATCACGGGGCTATTCATCGCGAGGACTCTGTGCGCGTGCTGTACGTATACAGGGTGATTCAGGACAACCACTTGTCCTTCGAAATATATATTCCCGGTTGGATTCCGAGACTACTTTTCCTCTTGCGAAATGTTGTCCGAAGCTTCGTTCTTGAATTATACATGAAATACACAAAGAAATAGTTGACTCATCGCGCGGATCCGGTACAGGAAGTAGGTAAGGGCGGTGCAACTTACCGTCAGACGCGGGAGCTCATGTAGAGCGCTTGAAGCGCTATAGACGATGGTATGCGCACATATTTGCAAGCACGTTCTTCCTCTCTATCTCTCTGTACCTCAGGGGCCGGTATTTATAGTCAGATCTTACTTAAGACCGTCTTAAGTTCATCTTCAGATGTCCCGTAGCCAATGAGAAATATTAAATCGCCCGATGGATGCAGCATCCGAAGATGAACTTAAGACGGTCTTATATATAAGATCCGATTATGAATACCGGCCTTAGATCCATATTAATAGTCGTCACTTGAAATATGTCTCAGATGAAGTATTTCAGATTTATATTTAGAGTTGGAGATCTTTTCCAGCTGAATCGCGATTACAAATGTAATGTACACGTGTATCGTAAAATTTCACTGACAAATCTCAGACCTAACTCTGAATTCCGGCCTGAATATCTCACACGTAACATAAGCTTAAAGTAACGGCTGTTAATGCGGACCTTGGTCACACATTCACTCATACTTTAAATATTTTAGTGTTTCGTTTAGCTTGATGACAAGCGCGCGCGTCTGACAGTGAATTGCGCTGCTCTTCCCTGCCTCCTGCAACCCGATCCGTAACAAGCAAATTATTTTCCTTTGCAATCCGTAAGCCAAGCTTCAAACAAAGTTTTGGTAGAGGAAAACCTATACAGCACAAATGCTCAAAACACATTCTAGGAACGTACCGGAGACATTCGATATTCCCGAGACGTTCCTAGGACGTCTATGGAACATTCGTGGGAGGTCGTCGCAGAATCGAGTCAGGAATATGCCTTTCGAAGGACGAGAGGTTGTTCTGAATCATCCTGTATCGTAGCGTCGCCGTGTAATTCAGGCTGCGGTAAACATCGCGCGGCGAATCCAATAAGCGATTCTTCCGCGATTCTCGAGACGTTCGTGACGATTGTGCGCAGGCTGCGGTAAAAAGTTTCGCGGCGAGCCTCCTCGGGGAACGACGGGCGGAAATCGTCCATAAATATCGAAAGAGAGAGAGAGAGGGAGAAAGAGGGGAAAGAGGGAAACAGACGGAGGAGAGGGGAGGGAAGGGACTGTCGGCGACTCCCCCGGGATAATCGCGGGTATTAAATGCGCGCAGAGAATCCGCTGCACTGCGACTGCGAGTCCCAGGAGCTCTGGGAATGGCTGCGCGACCATCAGAAGCTGGTCGGCGGCGGGATGAGCCGAAATCGCGGGGGTGGAGGACTAAGGGTGAACGACGTGGACGGCGGTCTGCTGCGGTGCGAGCAGCCGCCGGAGCTGCGCGGACTGGTGTTCCTCGACCTGGACCCCCACGCCTTCTGCTCCGCGCCGTTGGTCCTGAAACTGGCGATCCAGGACATCCAGCCGTTCTCCGTGCTGGTGTCGTGGCAGAGCAGGAATCACTCCGGCCTGCGGGGCTACCAGGTGGCCTATCACGCGTTGGACAACGTCGACGAGGTACTAAAAAGCAGACGAGCTTGCGAGCTTATTGTACGTCGCGCCGACAATAGTTGGGTAGGGGTATAAATCGACGGACGAGAGAGAGAAGGAGAGAGAGAGAGAGAGAGAGAGAGAGAGAAGGAGACAGAGAGAGAGAGAAAGAGAAAGAGGGTTAGGCTAGGTGTAAAGCGCGCGTGTAAAGTGTAAACGGCGCTTAATTCAATCGATAGTAAAAGCCGAAGGAGGGTTGGGGAAGAGAGGACGGGGGTGGAGGACGCTCTCTCTCGTCGACGAGACTCTAATTCATCCTTTACAAAAACGTGTCATCACATCCACCGGCGATTGATCGCGCGAGCGCGCGAAAAAAGCGCGGCGCGCAACGTATCGATCGGATTAATCGCTTTTGTCGCTCTGCAAGAAATCGAATCTGTTTTCTGTAATTTCTGAAATTGGTGAATAATGGTGATATTTTGTGTGTGTGTGTGTGCGTGTGTGTGCGTGTGTGTGTGTGTACATATGCAGCGTATATCTCGCGCAATCCCCGACGTCTATCACAGAGAATTCCGCGTAATGATTTCCCCACGACGGTAATGAATCTTTCACGGAGCGATATCTAGAGAAGAACGTTAACATGTAATATAAAATGTAAAACTGAAATATCTGATATACGTTCGTCGATCGTTGCGGCTTTTTTGATATATTTTTTTGCACACTTTTATACGTTTGTTACACTGAAAGAAAACTGTGCTGCATCCGAGTGATATTGGCTCAATCCGCGGTAAAGTGGTTACTCCAAAACTCTTTGGAAAAGTATGTACTAAAAGTAGACTATAATGGACTATATAAGATATAACATGATATTTCCTTGGTACAAGTAGACATTTACTTGTATTAAAACAATCGCTATGAAATTTACTTTTGGAAAATATTTAACGGACGGAAAGGCCTAAGTTTAAAATCACTGAGTTTCTTCACTGAAAATAGGTATTACATAATTCTGATTAATATCCTCTTAAGTTAAGAATCATTTACTTGCATTCAATAATTCGTTCACAAATTAAGGCACTGCCACATTAAAACAGACATTTATTACAAGCCATTAAAATATGTTTAAATTGATAAAAATCTTGCTTGATTTAAGGGGCTGAAATACAGGTAATTACATTTACTTGATTCTAGCATTATTTTCTGTGTATATATTTGCCGCAAATTTATTACCGTTTTAATTATCACTCGAAGGACGCGTTAATATCGCCCTCTCTCTCTCTCTCTTTCTCCTCGCCCCGACCTTAAACGAAGATCTCGGGGACGCGGTCGCCTTCAAACTAGCTCCCTTCGGATTTCAGGTACGTGCCAAAATACTCGAGCCCAGCGCGCGCTCGGTGAAACTGTCGAAGCTGTCGTCGAACACCCGCTACCTGATCTGCGTGTTCGGCCTCGGTAATTGGATGACACCGCGCGTCGAGGAGAACCCGAACGCGGAGCAGCTGAATTTCTCGCAGATCGAGATCCTCGCGTCCACGCCGAGCTCGCAGATGACCGACTCGTCCACCAGCCGCTGCACCGAGGTGAAAACGCTGGACGCGCCGGACGCGATAATCAGCAGCGACGGATCGGCCATGGGCGACGTCGGCAGTGTAAGCAGCTTCCTGACGCGACGGCTCGGCCTGATAGTCGGCTGCTGTATGGGCTTCGTCGTCTTCCTGCTGCTGGTCTCCGTGCTCGGCTATCTCAAGGTCAAGAAACAAAGGGAGGCGGTGAAGCGGGAGCAACAGCCGATACCGCCCGAGTACATATCGTACCGGCACTTCAGCATACAAAGCGGCGAGGCCGGCCACCAGGCGGTCGCCAGGCAGACCAGCATTCAAGACGGCCAGCACCCGAGTTTCATCGGCAGCATGGGCAACACCACGCTGAACGTATGAGAAAAGTCGCGGAACTCCCGACTCGTGGAAGTCTCGAACGTGTGAGCAGGCCCGAATCACTTCGTCGGTTCGAGCGTGTTGACCGGGAATCGGGGGACTCCCGCGACTCGCGGAAGTTTCGAATCTATACGCCAAAAAGAGAAAAAAAAAGCAAACCAGAGAGTCTCTCGCACGGACTGTTATATTCGAATTCTCGCAATTCGGCGTGACGCCGCCGCGGGGTCTCGCGAAATCGAGACTCGGACAGTCGTGATCACGGCGGCGCGCGCTCCTGCCACTCGGAGGTGTGACACGCACTCAAAGTGCTACGCACACACACACACACACGCACACATACACAAAAATACTAAACTAACGAACACACGCGCGTACAACGGAAACATATTTTCACCGTTACATCCCCGGAGACGATGAGACGCGTCGTCGCTCAACCGGCGTCCGGCCAAGCCGGCGGCATCGCGAATCATCACGTTCACACAGCAACGAAGAAGAAGAGTTCGAGCGAATCCGAGAGCGTAGAGCGAGTGAATACATTTACGTGAGAGAATGCGAGACGCGCGAATGGGAAGTCTTATCGATTAAGTAGCGGAGCATTTTATAAGGGATTTTCTACGAGTCTAAATTTCGTTCCAAGTAACTTTAATCACCCCCGCGGCGAGAGGGGGAGAGAGGGGAGGCGCGTCATATTGCGACGATAGATCGGACGGACGGGAGCGGTCCCCGCGAGAGCTGTATAGAACAGGAAATTGCTTTCGGTAATACACGAGCGATACGCGCACGCGAGCCGCACGCGAGAGAGCGAGTTCTCGTGCTCTCGGAAAAATTGTCTTTGAGCAAGACGAGATGTATCGTACTGCGCGTATCTTTCTCTCTGATCCTCCATCGGGAACGATAAATTATGCCGTGTTCGGGCATCGATCGAGCTGCGCTCGAAATTCGTCGGTCGCTTAATAAATCGGGACTTTTGAAATATTAAACGACGCGATATGCGGAGCGTCGTCGTCGCGCCGAACAGGATCGATCCGCGCGCGATCCGGAAGACCGGGGAAGCGCGTCGACCGGTCGGAATATCCGCCGATACGGCGATGGAGGAGAGCCGTTGTAAGTACAGAGGCGGGCTGTCACTTTGTTCGCGAAGGATCGATCGATCGTCTCGCGAGCATCCGCGGGTGCTATTCATCCGCTGTGCTTTTCGGAGGAAGCGCATCGCTGGCGCGTCGCAATGCGTTCTCTCTCTCTCTCTCTCTCTGTCTCCTTCGAGGAGGAGTATGAAATTTTCTCGAGTGCGCGAGAGACACGCGAGATTTCGAGAGAGTCGCGCGCGTCCGCGAAAACGACAACTATAAGCCCACGGCGATGAGGGCGAGATACGGTAGGTAGACTTCATCTCGTGTAACACGAAGCGCGGCATTTGCCGAACGATTTACGACTAAACACCGCGCTATTACATATCATCCAGCCTCCATTCGCGGGCAGGGTCGGCCGAACCGGGGGCGGTGGCGGGACGTGAAGTGGCTATTGTGTTTTCTTAATGGCTCGGCAAACCGCGCGGTTTAGGACGTCACCACGCGCCGATGTCGCAAAATGGCATGCCATTTTGCGGCGGACGCCCGCGACGGTACCATCAATTTCCGATTGGGCGACGGCGGCAGATCACGGCGGGAAAATGGGACGCGAAAAATCGCTCGTCCCTGTGTACGCGCGATCGATCGCGCGACTCAGATTCTCCCGGTGTGATAAGAGGATAAAGAATGTGGAGGAAGTGTAAATGTTAAAGAACGTGCTTGTCCCCGCTCCCGGCGGCAGCGGTGGCAACGGAGCGCGGCTCTTTGCGGCTCTTTGTAAGCGATTCTCCATCCGAACCCCTCGCCGCACAGGTGGTCTGAGGATAAAAAATTTTGCCCGAAACTCGGAATCCTGCTGGAAATGACCTTGTTACGCGCAGAAAGTGGCTTTAAAAGAGAGGGGCGACTATTTGCAAGCGATTCAACGTTTCTCATGTTTTTTTTTCTTTTTTTTTTGGATAAATACGAAATATAATATCCATATTTTTTATGAACAGCTTCTTATAAAGGAGCGTGATCCTCCCCGGAATGATATTCGGTCGACTTTTTCCCCTATTCAAGAATATCATGAAGAAAGAATAGGATTCCTTCTCTTACGATATTCTTGAATAGGAAAAAAATGTATATCGTTTCGGGAAGAATTTTATATAATTTAGCGGAGTATTTTCATTTTCCGACTTTCCAAATCATGTATAGGATCTGACAGGACACGTTATACGGATCTAAGAAGGTTAGTTATTTTCAAACGATGCATAATGAATAACAGATTTTGTTAATGTAAATGTTGACGATTATTACGCAACTGCAGTTTTCTTTCAGAAACTTTCAAATTCTCTTAAATATCCTTGAAGTATTGGCAAGAAAACCTTTTTTTCCATTGTAAGGTTACGCTTATTTCAATCACAAATCTCCAGTCATTATCCCGCTGTAGAAATAAGAAGAACACAACATAATGTAAAATCACTTACTTCGTGGCGTGTTCTTTTAGCGTATTAAATATAATGCTATTATCACTGCATAAATTAATATAATATTTCGCCGAATTTGGACAATATGACAGACGCGACGAAAGATTACCTTTGAATGATCACCAATTTTAACGTCTCTTTTCCCGACGAGTGATAACAGAATGGAAATAACAACGATTATTTGATTACAGGACGTATAAAACTGTGTTTATATCAACTTGAGGTAAAATTCGGAAAATGACTCTTAATTAAGAGATATCAATCTCAGACCACTGTGCGCCGGCTGAACTCTCTCACCTTATCACGAACGTACTGAAATAATGATTCTTTTATCGTCACTCGCACGGCGACATTTTTAACGCGGGGACACGATTTAATTAAGTACAAAGCAAAAACGTAGGAATACTTAATCCGACATTTTGACGTTAATTAACCGCCGAAATAAGTCAGATCGAATTAAAGTCCAATTAGGCACGTGAGTCTCCGTTTCTAATTCGGGTCCTTCGTCCCTCTCTTCCAATACAGATATACATATATATATATATATATATATATATTTTGCGTCGTGTAATGCGCGTCATCGCCACGAGGAAGCCGCGAGGAGACCGAGGTGACGTCCTACGGCTCTTTTAGGATCTACGAATATACGTGAAACGACTGTATATATAGGTACACATCGTATCTCGAGAGACTATGTATTCTACAGGTTAAGGATGTCGATCACAAGGATTAATATCGTAAGGATTCCGACGACCTCTTAATTAGCGAAACACGTAGTTGAGAATTAGCATCGGCGCGATGATTTTCGGAAGGCCGACCGGACCAGGATCCATCATCGGAGCTTTTATCGCGACGGCGACGGCGGCGTCGATGTGACACGACGGATGGTGTAACGTACCGCGCATTAGCAATGAGCGACGCACGCGGATGGAACTATTTCGGGATTCGATTCAGCCGGCGGATTGACTCGCTCGATATCGCCGATAACCTGTATAATTGCCATGGATATTGAAGTCGCGTTTGCCGCAAACGCGACGAAATATCGCGCTCGCTGCAAAGGAATTTTTAATGTCGGCGCGTTCGCGTGCGAGCGAAAACGCGGCCCGTTCGCGCTTCGACGAGGACGTGATTATCGAGGCAATACGGTATCCGGTGAGCTCGTTACGGAAAATCGTTACGGCATAACGCGGATAAAACGGGGCTCGACGGGATGATAGTTTCATCGTCGCGAGCGGTGACGACGAAAGGACTCGCGAGACTACGAGTGTGACGAAGAGAAAGAGGAGGAGAAGCAGGTGGAGAAAATGAGCGGAATCTGGGTAATCGGCGGCGGCCAGCGCGAGGTCTGTGTATGCATTGTCGTCACACACTGTGTACTGTACCATATACGTACGTCACTGTAATAAAAATGCAAATCTTTTTGTAATCGAGTGTTTTTCATCACCCGCCCCTACAGCACACCTACTGCCGCGCGCGCGCGGACTCGGAAAGGTCGTGTTAATCCGTCCGCCGTGATATCGCTCGGCTCGGCGAGATTGAACCATAACCGGCCGGGTTTTTCTTACGAGTCTCGCGCGCTACGCCGGCAAAGAAGGACGACGTAATTCTTACCGTCGTTCGTTCGTACCTACCCTACCTGCCCGCCCGCCTGCCATCACCATTCCCCTCTTCCGGCTTGCGCGAATACGCCTCGACGGTGTTCGCGGCTCCGCCGTATCGAGCGCGCGGATTACGTTACATTATGTCGGCTATACGGCTGCGGACGAAATATGGTTTATATTGAAAACGGGATCAATCCGCGGGATATATTAATTTCGATATATCGGCCGGTGTATATCGGAATTTGACGAGTTCCCATCGAGCTCGCAATTGCGAGCGGCGGTCGCTCGGTGATCGCGGATAAATCGACAGCTTTACGGCGCGCCGGATATACAAGGCAATCTCTGTCGACCTCCGCGGGCCCGCAGAGTCACAAAGAACCGGATGGAGATAACTTATTAACGGTGAGCTTTGTGCGATTTTTCCTTCCTTTTGTATCAACATCCCCACGGCCGACAGGTTGTTCGGATATGTGAGCGCAACATCAAGCTGGTAGGATCGCGCGCACATGCCGATATGAAAATATCGCGATAACGCGTTCTTCGAGAGGGTCGTGCAGACGAGACGGATTTAAAGTGAAACCGCGCCGAGTAGAATATGCATTCATTATAGCGACTAAAGTGCCGCGCTAAAATTGAACGCGAGTCCTGCGGGGCCGAAATTGATGGTCGTTCGGCGCTTCGTACTATTTTAAGTATTCTTCTAAGAATACTTAATTAAATCCTTAGTCATCGAGTGAGCAAAATCGTCACTCATTTGTGACCGACCCGACTGCGGCGATATTTAAGGCTTTCTATAGGATGATTGACTTCGGTTCGAGACGAGAAGTGTTTTATGCCTGAAATCTTTGTCTTTAAGTAACGCACAATGACCGTCTTAGGTCCTGTTTGTGATCGATGACAAGCCGTTGTATAATATATAAAAGTAAACGAATAATAACTCAGATAAAAATTGAGAGCATAAAACGTTGTCTTGAAATTATAAGTCAAACATTCTGCCGATGTCCTTCCGCGTCACTCACGTCTGAATAACGCAGCAGTCAACGTGTTAAACCAAACGCCAATCAGTTACATAACAGGTTCGTTTTCCAAAATTCACTACAGCATCGTCGCGAGACGGTCACGCGGGCCGGTGTTTCGCCTGAAATTTCCGCGTTACCTCGCTCGCTGCGAGCTGAATTCCTTTTCAGGAGGTACCAAGCACGAGTGTTCTACATAGTGCCGTTTTAAATATTAATAACGTCGTTATTAATATTATTATACGAGGGTAAAATGGGAGGATAAAATTGTCCATCGTGTATTACCGGACATGCCGAATTTTTTCGGGCAAACGAACGCGGCGACAGCCTCCCACGGACCGACCCTTTGAAATCCCACAGTAATATTCGCTATTAATTTTAAATACTCTGAAAGCCCACATTGCTAACTAAATTAGTGAGCCATTTAATGACTCTATTTATTATGTATGTATGTACGCCCTTCATGATCTCCTATTCTATCTTTATTCTATTCTTTCATCGGAACCGGTCACTTGAAAATTTAATTTACAGCATGGGCGGAAAAATATGCTTCATTCGTTCTCGTATGTACATCTGTACGAGTTTGTAAATACTGATTATTGCGAGAAATATTGTCGAGGCCTCAGTGGAGGCCTCAGGCCGAGTTGGTACGACGTCCTGCTAATTCAGCTGGCTGGCGTCCAGTTGGTGGGGAGATTCAGATGCGACTCCTGGTTGAGACAGTATTCTTCACAACATAATAAATAAAGCCATTAAATGACTCGCTAATTTAGTTAGCAATTGAGTAAGGATTTTTTAGGGGATTTTAAGTTAATAATGTTACCACGATTTCAAAATGTTCCAAGTCGGTTTACATGGTGGAAGCTTCTCGCTGCATTCGTTTGTCCGAAAAAATCCGATACGTTCACGTAATACACAATAGACAATTTTACTCTCCCACAATAATATTAATAATAACATTATTAACATTATATTTAAAACTAGAGAACATCCGTACTCGGCTCCTCACGGCTTTACGTTCTATCTTTAGTGTTCATCGGAATACTGTCGCGCTCGAAAATTTCAATTCCTATTATTACACGGTCGCGGAAAAGAAATTTCAATTTAGCGCACGGAAGATAAAACTCACCGCGCCGGCGACACTCCGAGAGAAGATCGTCGCTCAGCGAGCGCGCCTTGATGTTCCGACACGAAACCCAAATAGCGATAGCTATGAAACGCCTGTACCGCGTTCTCTCGCACTGGGCGAGACCAGTTCCAAGTCACCGCGACATCCTGGGCGCAGAGAAAGAGAGAAAGAGAGAAAAAAGAGAGAAAGGGAGAGGGATAGGAAAGAAGAAAGAAAGAGAGAGAGGGAGAGGAAAAAGGAGAGAGAGATGCCGAAGCGTTTTCAAGAATAACGGAAGTCACGAGAGCCGCAGGACTCCCGTGGGATGCAATCGGAATTCGTAAAGTATGCGGCATGCTCTCGTTTATTTCGGTGTGTCCGCCCTGCCGACGAACCGGAGGTCTCTTTAAAGCCGTCCCTACGCCTCGTATAAATTTTCCAGCGTCTCGACGAAACGCTTCCCGTCTGCTTTATCGTATTTCCTTGCAATTAACCCCTCCTCACCGTCTCGCCGCGCCCCGCGCGCGCCCGTCCCTGCTGCGCCGTGGGCTGTAGATCGCGAAGTAGAGGCGTTCTGCATATTTCATTTGTTCCTACTGCGCTGCTCCGGCAAGAGGCTGGGCGCGTCCCGGTTTCGTTCTTCCGGAATTGCAAGGGCGGTGACCCGTGGCCAGGAAATTGAAACTCGCCGTTAAGAACACGCGTAATGTCGCCGATGCTCCCGCCAGCTGACGCGGGGAAGGCGCGGAGGAAACGCTATGCGCGCGCGTCATTGCCCCTCGCTGAGATCTCGGCCAATTATTACCCACGGCTGTGTAAGTAACGTGTTACTTAATTAATTAGCGCTGATGGATGCGGAGGTTCGTAACATGGTGAAAAGTCGAACTCTTCCCGGCCGAAATCCGGGATATTCCCGGCTCTTTTAACGTCCCGGCCGTACGAACGGAAAAGGTTAACACATTTCACGCATGTCCCACGGTCCATGCAAATTTTCAATGCGAAGATCCATGTTCTGAACTCACTTTTATCGATAAAAGTGCCTTAAATGTGGCTCCTCAGCCAATCAGGTGGTTTCTTTTAGAGGCACTTTTATCAAGTTCAGAACGTGATATATATGTTGAAAGGTAACAAAAATACTATGTCAGAAATAAACACGTTAATCGGTACTGGAATATAAGTATTATTTTAATACTAACACATGTTGTGAATATCGACTCAACACGAAAATATATTCAGATGAC